GAAAAAATAGCACTGCTCGCTTAAATGAATCTCTTCGCACTGAATTTTATTGACAAATGTCTAACCTCTAAAATGCAGCCAGTTTCAGATGTCAAAATAAATTACACCTACAACTAACGTCATCTAACTGTGAGCCGCAGGAACTAAGTTTACCACCTAATATATGCCTGCTTTCGTTATTTCCGTCTCTTAAGCCCGTATCAGACTATAGATTAGAATTGAGATTGAATTGAAATTTAGCCAATCAGAGCAAAATTCACTAAGCTCAAGTTTGGTGAACTTTGCTCTGATTGGCCACTTATTAATTCAATCTCAATCCTAATCTATAGACTGCGTTCGCTTTGGGCGCTTACGCGCTGTAAGCGTCATTCTATCTTTATCGCTCATTACATACGGGAAGAAGATAGAATGACGCTTACAGCGCATAAGCGTCCAAAGCGAACGCAACCACTGTCTGATACGGGCTTTAGGCCGGTATTCATAGGCATGGTTTACATCGTGCACTTGATACGCGTATTAAATAGTAACTTTCTATTAGATAATCTTAATATCGACGATGTATATAAATAACGGTATATTAAGCTGGTATAATATTGATCAAGAAGACTTATTGTATCGATTGAATGCGTCATTGATATGCATTGTCAATATTAAGATTATTTAATAGAAAGTTACTATATAGTACGCGTATCAAATGCACGATGTAAACCAAGCCATTGTCTAATCTTATTTCAAGACTGTCGTAAGTAATGCTTAAGAAGCAAATACGACTCTGTGATTGGTTCATGACATCTTAAGACAGGGTTGTGTTCAAATTCTCTACTCGGGTGCACTCTATTATTAGAAACAATATAGTATGTGTTACATATACTATAACACTTCTAGTAATAGAATTCATCCGGATAGGAAATCTGAACGCAGCCCTGGGCAGCGATCACGTAACTTCGAGCGGAACTTTTCACTTTTCACTTTTCGCTCTATCGATTTTATTAAACTTTTTCATTGTTCACGCAATCAAGGCTGCGTTCCGAAATTCACTGCCAGTGCTGAAATTCTATAGTATACGTGACATGAACTATAGAATTTCAGTACTGGCAGTGAATTTCGGAACGCAGCCCAAGTAACTCTATGCGTGAAAAGCACAAATTACTAAACATGGTTCTTATATGATTTTAATATCAGCCAAATCAGCTATATCCATCGGCTAGAACATATTAACCTTAAAAACAACGCTATAACCTTAAAATTGTTATGTTTCATGTATTTCATCACAGCAGTAGCATAATATATTCCGCATTCATCATGTTACTAGATTTTCACTTTTCCGCCAGCACATTTTATGGCTAACAAGTTCACGTGAAAAGTTTCACGTTTCCACGTTTCGTCGAGTTACGTGATTACGAGTTCACGTGAAACTTTTCACTTTTCATCTTTCCGCCCTAGGGGAAAAGTTATATGATCGCTGCCCTGAACGCAGTACTTAAAATGATCTTAAATATAAGATCGGATTAAGTATCGGATTAATATAATATCGGTCTTAGACCGGTATTCATAGTCAGATCTTATATTTAAGGCCGTCTTAAGTTTATCTTCAGATGATGAACGGATCATTTCATTGGCTATGGAGTATCTGAAGATGAACTTAAGGCAGTCTTAAAAATAAGACCCAACTATGAATACCGGCATTACAGTTGGTTAGTTTGATCCACTTAAGGGGAAAACTGAAAACTTTACCGACAGAACACTGACATTTTTCTATAAAGTTTACGTCGTATTGGTTACACAGAATTATAAATGTTTTTACGCAATGAAAATACGTGCAAAAATAAATAGAAACATTGCTCGATATGTGACAAAAACGAACAAAACAATTTTAATGTAAAATCTCAAGCTGGCATTTAGCGTAATATTTGCCTAATCCAAAAGCTCCGCAGCTTGTGCATACCGAAAATGTGGATGCTCCAAATAGGAAAATTTGAAGAACATTGCTCTACCTTTGCATCTGTATTTGGAAGCTTAAAAATATCGAAAACGTTTGCAGAAAGATTTCTACACATATATGGTTAAGTTTTCCGTTGAATATGGTAAAACAAAGCAACACACTTTCATGTAAGTTCTGTATATACAAGAAATACGAAAAGGATAGCGTGATTATGTTAGTGGCTTGGTTTACATCGTGCACTTGATACGCGTATTAAATAGTAACTTTCTATTAGATAATCTTAATATCGACGATATATATAAACAATGGTATATTAAGCTGGTATAATACTCATCAAGAAAACGTATTGTATTGATTAAATGTGTTGCTGTTGATATGCATTGTTAATATTAAGATTATCTAATAGAAAATTACTATTTAGTACGCGTATCAAGTGCACGATGTAAACCAGGCCAGTAACGATCGTTTCTGTATTATCGATTGTTCGAGTTCGTCATCGACTCTAGCATTCCCCTTAACGCTCCCAACGCCGAGAGCTATTCTATCTTTGTTGTTCGAGGCGTTGCGAGCGTAAGGGCTATCGCACACAAATTGACATAACTGCATATGCATAGCATAAGATCGTATGGACCAATGAGCATCGAATATTAAGCATCGAACACCAATATGGCGACTTAATACTCGATGCTCATTGGTACATACGGTCTTATGCTATGCATATGCAGTTATGTCAATTTGTGTGCGATTTTACGCAGCGAATAAAAGCTGGCGTTTCACCCCACTCCATCGTTGTTCAAAGCAGCGTTTAAAAGCTGTTCGCTATCACCTGTATCCTTTTCATGGAGCGAATAAAAGCTAGCGTTTTATCCCCACTTCAGCATAGTTCAAAACAGCGTTATAATGCTGTTCGCTGTTGCCCATATCCTATTCACCACGTTTAACCTCCTGTATAAACTGCAATAAGTATAAAAATAGAGTGTTATAATCGAGATATGGAGTATATAAAATATTATAGATGTACAGTGGCGATTATAGGTAAAGTTCGAAGACGATATATAGCTGCTGTAGTTGCAGCGATGTATTTGTTAAAAAAAGAAAAAATACATAAGACAAAAAAATTAATTAATTTAATATAAATAAATAAGATACAAAGAGTAGCCTATAGGTTATAACCTATATAAATATGCTGACTATATATAATATATACCAACTTCGTTCCCAGCAAACACAGAACATAACTGTAATATAACACAGGAGTAACATGTAATATAACTGCTGTTATACACTATTAATATTGAGGTTACTTAATTTCCTTTATAACTGCGATATAACTATATTATAAAACTGTTATGTTATTATGTTATTTACTGGTTAAGTTACATCAACAATATAACAGCAACATAACTTTAATATAACATGTTATATAAGAAGTCTAATGTTTGCATTAAATTTCAGTTGTGCAATATTTTTATACACAAATGTAAAATTATATTTTAGGTGTTTCTCGTATATAAAATGTGATATTTTAATATATGCAAGGATCGCTATAACGATATTATAAAACTAGAGTTCTTACAAAGAGTCTAATCATAACCTTACTCGTCGTTCTTTCACTTACAGTACCTTCATCAAATGCAGTATTAATGTTACGCGTTGTCTCGGCTGCAGTATGACCAAGTTTGAACTCGTACAAGTAAATTATACGAATTTCTTTATTTTCCATCACGCGTTAATGCAAACTTCTATGACTAACAGTACAATATAGAAAGAAAGTTATGTGCACTAAATCACATATGGATCATGTACTTTTCACACAATATACATATACCGCCCTCTGTAAGAAAGAAAAGTAATCTATAGGGGTGGGAAATTCAAAATACTGAAAATGGCCATTTTATTTGCACCAACCTAATATATATATATATATATATATATATATATATATATATGAACTTTTTTTTCCGGGAATCTTAAATCCGAGCATATTAATACAAAGTTTTCATGGTTAATTAAAGGTTGTTTCGCGTGATTAAATTAATGTCATTTCAATATTTGTCAAAATATTGGGAGTGTGCATTAATTTTAAAGGATTTTCAAGAGATGGCGTAATTAGTACTATATCGCATCGGGCCATATTGTTGCTACCTTCATGTCAAAGCACCATCATGTGGCTTTAGTTTTCAGTATGTGTCATTTTGCCGAAGTGTAAAATGAAAAACAACATCGTTTTTTAAGCATTGAATATGTCGAATTTTGTGCCAACAAAACGCAATTTGCGGGAAGCTTTGCTTTATTGTTTTTATTTGAAGAAAAGTGCTGCTGAAAGTCAACGAATGCTGTCGGAAGCTTATGGTGATTATACTCCATCGATTTCAATATGTAAGTACTGGTTTCGACGTTATAAAAAAGGTGATTTTGACACGGAAGACAAGGAACGTCCAGGCCAGCCGAAAAAGTTTGAAGATGAGGAAGTGGAAGCTTTACTCGATCAAGACCCGAGTCAAACGCAAGAAGAACTTGCAGAATCATTAAATGTTGATCGATCAACGATTTCCAGACGTTTGAAGACTATTGGAATGATTCAAAGGAAATTGGGTGCCGTACGAGTTGAAGCCGAGGGACGTCGAAAGGCGCAAAATGACCTGTGAATTGTTGCTTCAGAGACACAGAAGAAAAAGTTTTTTGCATCGTATCGTGACGGATGATGAAAATGGATACGCTACGATAATCCAAAGTGCAAAAAATCATGGTGCAGGCCAGGCGAACCATCAACATCGACCGATTATTCATGGCGCTAAGCTTATGCTCTGTATTTGGTGGGATCAGCTGGTTGTAGTGTATTATGAGCTGCTCCAATCTAACGAAACCATCACTGGGGAACGCTACCAATAACAGTTGATGTAATTGAGCCGAGCATTGAGGCAAAAACGACCAGATTACGCGAAAAGACACGACAAAGTAATTTTCCAACACAATACTCGGCCACATGTTACGAAACCGGTCAAGGAAACGTTAGAAGCGCTTAACTGGGATATCCTACCACACCTGCCGTATTCTCCAGATATTGCTCCTTCCGATTACCACCTATTTCGATGGATGATTCATGGCCTGTCTGAGCAGCGCTTATGAGGATACCAAAAAATGGGTTGATTCATGGATAGCCTCAAAAGATGTGTCGTTCTTTCGACGTGGAATTCACCTATTACCAGAAAGATGGGAAAAAGTAGTGGCTAGCGATGGACAATATTTTGAATGATCAATTTGTAACCATTTTTTCACAATAAAGCCTTATTTTTACCAAAAAATCCCTTAAAATTAATGCATACTCCCAATAGAACTACTTAATCTTGAGCTAACGTTTTAGTTATTTCACATGCTACTTTCCATTATCATGCGATAGAGATAATTACAACATTGTATTCTTATGCAAAAGAAAATTTAATTTACTGAGGTATTATAGCAACATTTTAGTAACAACATTGACTTTGGTGCTATATAGGTCCTTTTCTAAAAATATTTTAGAATATAGAGAAATATATGATATACAAGTATCGCACTTTTAAATTTTGAAAATTAAATCGAAATTAAGAACCTGAAAAGAGATATAGTATTTGATTTGATATTCTTCAGTAAGAAAAAATTGACTACAGATTGTGTGTTTGAGGAATTGAGCGATTTATCTCTAAACAGTCCGCTAATATAAATATATATTATTAGTGAGTTATGCTCTCACTTCATTGTTAAAAAAAAAATCAGGACGCGTCGTTTCGTCGGTATATAAATTTTAGCGGAAAAGAAATCATGGATTATATCTATTTAAATTTTATTTTATATGCAACTTGCGTGTAGTAATGTGAATACATATAGCGATCATTTATCGATAATCAGGGATTTCCTTGATATGTTCGATATCCGCGAGATTGTTTCACGCGTATTCTATAAATAACGGTTTAATGAAAAATTAGATATCCGATACATTAACAAACGGAAACTTGAAATAGCCACCAATCTATTGCTTCTCTAATATAATATAAAACGTTATGAAAAGATACGTAGAGCAGATATCTTTTATAATAGCTATTGTAGCTAGTACTATTTAACTAGAAGATACACTAACGATATCTAAAGATTAACAAATTCGATCAAATTCAAATATTATAGTTCTAAATGATACATATAAAGCTCGTCGATACTTACGTCGTATAGCTTTTTGCGGCTAGACATTAGGGACGAGAAAGTGTACGAACGAAAATCATTTTTATAATATATTTATAAACTCATACAGAACAAATATCCAAAATACATCTTATGGATATCCTATAGATATCGCGATATTTATAGGATATCCATGAGATGTATTTCGAATATTTGTTCTGTATGAGAAGTGTAGTTACTTTTCGCAAACCGTAAATTTTTTTTCGATGATTCTCTTACGCACAGATCATGCTTTAGAAATCTATTTCAGAGCAAACGAGAAATATCAATTTATCTGAGCGTGGCTCATTAAAAGCGATCATAAGTTGCGTCGTTTACTCTTTCGTTACTGATAACTGCTTGAAAAGATAATTTCAGTTAAGTTTTCGATTTTTGTCGACCTTTTGTCGGACATGTTGAATTACCTTTAGCTTTACAAATGGAAGAAAAATGTGCAGAGAGACGCAAATTTACAGAAAAGATATTTGAATAAACGTTACATGAATAAATGTAAGTTGTAAGACATATATATAGCCGTACATATGTATTGTCGTACATATGTATGGATATACGTTTGTACACGCTTCTTCTGATCGAGTCAGGAGCGTATCAAATGGTCACGATTGCGAGGCACTATTCACGAGCTCGCTTGCGCGCTATATTGCATTGGTTGAACTTGTATCAGTTATGACGGAAGCCGAAATGATAGCACACAAGACGTCACGATTGCAACGGATGAGGAGAGGAAGGATTTAGAAAAAAATATTAATACTTTTACTATGCTTTTATCCATCGAGTAAGAATATAATGGAAGATCACTGTTTACACCTAGATTAAATCATTGTCATCCAACCATTGTCATAAAATCGATACGTTACTATACAAGCCTATGGCTCGCAATCGTGACTATTTGATGGGTTTCTAACTTGATCGAAAAAATAAAGAGAGAGAGAGAGAGAGAGATAGAGAGAGAGAGAGAGAGAGAGAGAGAGAGAGAGAGAGAGAGAGAGAGAGAGAGAGTACGTGTGTGCGTGTAAGAACACATCAACGTACCGACGTAGGTATTACCCGAGCTTATATGTCGAGAAGATTACAATGCATTAGCAATCATCGTAAGATTGCACTTTCGATGATATAGCATGACGATTGAATAATTGCCGTCGCATCTTTTCTTTCGCTTTCTCCTTCTCCTTAACATATTCACTAGTATACCACAAATTAAAATACATCCCTGAGAATTGCTATTGACATACATCTCCGGAAGAAGATACTATACGCATCTTTGATTTAATAAGGAACGTTATCTCGTATATAGGCTTGCTTTCGATATTCGTGACGCACGCAATTGTTCTTCTGATTTCGTTGCAAGCATATCTTGTGCGTTTTCAAAATGAAACATTTAGTTTGGAGCACGTCGAAGAAGATTTTGCCTATGAAATCCGCCGATGCAGTCCCAGCCATCTTCAAACACGTACGGAATCTGTAAGCAGCAAACGGATAGGAAGGGGGTCAGTGCGAATGCGATATACTATGGATGCATTTGGGGAGCACGCTACTAACGCTACCGTATTCTTCTATCTTTATCGCTCCTTAGATATATAACAAGGATAGAATGACACGGTAGCGCTGAATAGCGCTAATAGCAAGCTCCCCGAACGCACTTTATATATATCTCGATTTCCTGCCGAACGCGATCGATCGATTCGCTACTCACCGTTCGTCGCAGGCGCAATGCATCATGCTCGAAATTCCCCAATTGAAAAAACCGTAACGCGTTTCGAACGCCGGTATGAAAACAGGACAAGCTGTGTCGTGTTTTCGGCAACAGGCGTCAGCTACGCCAAAGCCGCCTAGATTGGTGTATTTAGTAGCACGGTGACCGCGGCCGCACCATTGCGTCCCTGGCATCATGAATAGATCTCTTCGATTCCGGCTCCGACTTTGGCCCCGACTTTGCTTTCGATAGTTTCGATCGTTTGTCGATCTCGCGTATTTCCTGTATGTATTACAAAACAAGTTATCTTTTAATAGGAACGGCTCTGGGTTTACGTGGGCTGCTATCAAGCCTTCACACAACCACTATTCTCTACGATATTTTCAACTGAATTGGAGGAGAACCAAGCCGTTTTCCCTTCTAGTAGCCACAGATAGCCACAAATTCGCGAGATTGATTCGCAATTGTTTGTGTACAAACGTGTACAAAGAAGCGAGAGGAAGGAGAGTTTAGGACGAAATGACAGCCATCGATCGTCATCTCACTCTGGAGAGTGGTCGAGAGAATATCGGCGCGGGAATATATATACTCCTACCTATGTCGACGTAATCCCACGACTCGACCTCGTACACGCATTCTCGCACGATAGCACCAACGATCGAGCTCCGACGTCGACAACAGCCAGAGGAGGTCATGGGGTATCCTCGAAGCATCCTTGTCTAGTTGGAACACCTCGATCGACACTTTGTCACCGTCACCGTACTCGTAGTAATAGACGTTGCGGGAGCTAGGTAAACACTCGCTGTCGTCCCACGGTACAAGCCTCTCGTCGATGCAATCGGCCAGAGTTTCACCGGTGTGTATCAATTGCAGCTTTCTGCTTGACTTTTCAAGCCAAACTTGTCGCAGTGTTACGTTCCTGTCTCTACATCGGGAGGATAAGCATTATTGTAGTCTTACTTTCATGCATATGTCGCGTCGTAGTGTTTTACATCACGTACGATTACGGACGAATCGATCAGATACATCATTTTCACTCGCGGGATCGACGTTCCGCGTAATATTCAACAAGTAGCGTCGATACATTTTTTGTTTTTTTTTTTTTCAATTTATGTCAGTCTTTCTTCTTAACGCGTTTTTGTCAGCGTAACGTATTAGAGGTCGTGCGGTAAAGTATGAAAATGATTTCACGTCGTAATAAATTATTCACCCGACACGTCGAATCGGGATCTCTTACGACGGTAAAAGAGCTTTCGCCCCACGTTTAAGTGCAAAGTGACGCTTCGTGGTTGTGGTATTCTGTGGTATCCTCGTGAGAGCATCGGCAGATGAGTCCCACCTAGGAGGCTAAAACGGGACGGTGATATCGGTTTAGGTTTAGGGTTTAGGTCCGGCGCGCGCAAGGGGCCAATCCTGTCCCTACGTAGAGGCTTCCGCGAGAGAGACATTCGCTCGTCAGCGTTCGTTCGCAGAACCTAATCCTTGCTTACTCGACTCGTCGCTTTTCGGCTTAAGAGCTCGGTTGGCTTTGTGGTTATGTGTCAACGAATGCTCTCCTATGCTCCCTTTTTTCATTTCTCAATCTATATTGTGTGCGTGTGTGTGTGTATTTATGTATACATATGTCAAACAAAGGAAAAGACGCTTTTCGTGTCTTTCGTAAGCTTTGCACAGTCGGCGAAATAATGAAGGAAGAATCAAATCACATTCGTTTTTATGCGTCCATCTTCGTTTATATATTTAATACAAACGCCAATACAGCGTTATAATTGTGTTTGTATGCAAAACTTAGTACGGCTGACAAGGATTCACAGAGGCCGTTTTACACAGAGGCTGTATCACACGTTCTTCGGAACGATGGATGGCATTTGAAAGAGCTAACCGGCGCTATAAATGTATACGTAGCAGCCAAGCTCCCACGTATATTGGCAATAGTGAAAGGCGGCTTTGTTTTCTCGCTCGCCAACCGAGTTCCCGAGCTTCGATCCTCCCTGGCTACACCGGAGCAGAACGGAAGGGATAGGAAGAGAGATTTGCCTATATATCCGAGAAAATGTTATTCTGGTAAAGAGGATAGACAAGAGGTTGTTCCTATTTGTTTTGCTCGCTACGATAACATTCGGGACTGGTCCTTCGAGAAAGAACTATTCATATGTAAATCTGAAATTCATAAGTAACTTTGCCGATTTCGAAGAGATGCGCATATGCGTACTATTTCCAAATAATCTGGCCGATTTGCGCGACCGATTGCCCCATTCGAAGTGACAAAGCTGTTTATTTGTTTATTCGATGTTTCGCTTGAAGCGTGTAAACGTATGAGAAAAGGGAAAATGTGTGTGTATGTGTCTGTGTAATGTGCCATTGAATAGATTCGTATGCAAATTTTCTCTCCCTCCTTCTCTCCCCTGGTGAAAATGATATTTAATAATACTTTACTTAAACTCTTGTTTGCACAAAGAACTCTTTTCTTCAGAACAAAAGTGTTATTAGACATTTGATACTTTTTCTTACTGTTTCATTTTTCCGCTAGTATGTTTCCACATCTCACTCTCCCTCTTTTTTCCAATTATATATGTGTATATATATATATATATATATATATATATATATATATATATATATAACATACAGCAAACATAATTTTTAAACATTATTTATTTTCGTTTTTAGATACGAATCAGAACGTTTAATGTGCCTACGCTTATAGTTACCTAAATCAATTCTGTATCGAAATATAGAGACAATTATGCCCACCCCCAATTAACGACAGTCTCTTTGGCGCAGACTCCAGGCCACCGAATGATTCGTTCCAATCGTCCATCTGACAAGATCCTGATGACCGATATATTCTGACTGGAAGATGTTCCGATGAATTTGGATGAAACGTTCGTCGATCGTGCGAAATATGTACCTTCTCGTGGCGAAGCTCCGACACACGGTTGCGTAAGAATCAATCCTAATGCTAACAGCAGTAGTAGCATCAAGTACCTGTGCGAAAAAGTCCTCAAGCGTGACATTCGGTCCATTTGCGTAATATATTTATATTACATGTCACAGGGAGAAATCGCGCTTTTATATGCATTAGTAACAAGACAAATTTCCCGTGAGGCTCTGGAAAAATATATTGGCATCGAACATATCCTCGATATTTTTTCTCTTACTTTAAAAATATAAAAAAATTATTTAATAAGACGCTAATTTGTACACATACATGTGGTAATTCGTTTTGTATACACTGCATCATAAATGTCGATAGAGCTAAAGAATGTTCGTAGTGAAATTGAATCATTCGAGTAAATCATTCAAAGCTTTGCTAATAAGAGTAAAGCCGATAGAATGTTAAAAGTTTAAGAAAAATGCCTCTTTGCGAGTAGGGTAAGGGACTTTCAGCTATACAATTTATTTAACGAAACGCTCTGGCAATTAAATTACAGCATCAACACACACTATCAACATACAAATGTAATACTCATGTATATATATGCGCGATATGTCACGAAACTCTCCAAAATTATAATTTCACACTTTATACTTTGATCAATATAGAAAATCGTTTTTCTTTCTGATTCTCTTCAAGATGCTAACAATTTTTTAATTATGAATTGTCACGAAAAAATACGAAGCACTTCTCACCATTCAAATTTTACATATGTTATCAAATAACAAAGTCTTATCGTTCTGTCCTGCTCTGTGGATAGTTATTTAATTTGGAAAACATTTGACTTGACGCAATTTCAACGCGACATTCATAAACACTACCATATTTAATGTCACAAAAAGGAAAAGTCGCGAATGATAGTTTTCGTTTGATTATCGCCGAAAAAAAATTTTCGAATCATATTGGAATATGTCTCATATGTTTCTTATATCACGAATATGATACAACTGTTGCGAATTTCAAGCCAAGGTCGGAAGTATTTAAACTTTCTTCGTGTATTTAAACTTCTTGTATTTAAATTGGAGGCAGTTTGATTTTGTGTATCTACTACTTTTTAATACGTCCTATTATTACGTTTCGTAAGTCGAGAAAATCTCAACTCTTCGAAACTGCACCAAGTGAATATTGAACGTACCTCTTTGATACACTCATCTGTACGGTCCAAGATTCCGACATATAAAACTTTCTGGATCTTGGAGCACGATGGATTCGAGTAATGCCATATGTCTGTTCCTTTGCCGCTCACATAACGTCGACGTCAAATTGAAGAAAGAGCTCGTAGAGCTTTTCGTAATCTCTCATTTATTAAGTTTATGCTTTTTCATTCACGATTGTGTCTTTTTATTGCGAAAAGTAGCGACATATATAATAATTTTTTTGAAATTTTTTTTAAATCAGTAAAAATAATCTTTGTATGACTGAGATTTCTCGACGGATAAAAAGCGCTATCAATGTGGAGTAAAACTGCAACGTCACAATTGGATACAGATAAGATATCGCGCCAGTTGAAAACGCGAAAGGACAGGGCAAAGGACAAACGGTAAATCGGCGAACGGTTAAGTCACGTGATTGTTTGGCTCAAATCTTCGAATGTCTCGTAGTCTTTACTTTCGCTCGCTTTGTCTCTCTCTCTATTTGGGTGTTTGTTTTTATTTTTGTTCCTTCTTAAATGCACTACACAAGCGAACACACACACATATATATACGTATATATATATATATATATATATATATATATATATATATATATATATATATATATATATATATATATATACA